GTACAAAAAACACAGTTTTTATTGCCATCTCTTTATTAAATTAATCAATTAATTTATTATTTGCTACCAAACTAAATAAAATCTAGTGATATTATCATTATTAATAGAAAATAAAAGTTTTGAACAATCTCCCAGTAGTATCCTGCATAGTACCGTAAATAATATGATGTAATTTAATACAGTTACAAAAAAAACATAGATGACTAGACAGATTTGAACTATTTCGAGTAAACAAACCCCCAAGACAAAGACAACTGTAGACATAGTATACCTATAGATATACAAAACTATTTGGGCCATTTGAGGTCGATAAATGGGCAAAGATAAACTGAGTTTTTTAATAATGTTTTACTAGGATATAATGAATGGGTCCATAAACCCCAATTTTAATCAGGTTAATCTATATTTTCCTTCTTCCGGTTTATGTGCCTTTTTCTGCGAAACAACCTATAAATTTTATATACACTTGATGTAATGGTTAATTAGTGACCGTGATTATAATCAGTAAAAGACGCCTATTTAGGTCTGTGGGTTTTTTTCGGTCAATAGATGGTGGCAAAATAAAACACCGTGTTTCATGGGCCGACGTTTCAACATTTGAGGCATCCTCAGGGCTCTAAAAAGGAAACAGAGGGCTTTCAACTTTAAGTTTAGTTAATTCGATTTTTTATCTCATTTCCGGTAATAAACCGACTTCTTCAAGCTTGCAGTAGTATAAAACAATCGTCCACTTGGTTTGTGGGTCTTATGGTCTGCTTTGCCCTGGTCGTCTAGCATGGCAACCTGTTTTCCGAAAACGCTGAAGACATCGACCAATGGTGGTCTGATGAACACCCAACTTTTGGGCCACCTCACGTTGGAAATGCCCTTCTTCCAACAAGGATTCACTCAACTCAACTCAACAAGTCACTTAGATTTCTTCCTGGGGACATTTCAATCCAAATACACTTTAGTGACACACACAAGTTAGGAAAAAAAATGCAAGAAAATTGAGTTAAAAACAGTACCACACTTGCTGAAAACAATGATGAGATGTTGCAAATGACACAAAACAAGTAGAAACTTGCACTGGAATGGATAGAAACCAAAAACAATTAGTACTGTCCAATGTTACTATGGTTACGTTATTTACCAGCCTACTAGGTGTACCTACTATTAAGGCTATGACGATGATCCAATTGGAAACCATTCAAAATCTTGCACCAGACAAAACTGCTTCATGTTGCATGAACGCCACAGGTTAGAAGGGAAAATATTTCAAGAATAACAACCCTTTGTAATCATAAAGTGCCAAAAGATATTATATATATGTTAAAATTCCTTCATAACATTTTAAATTCGTTATAAATCGTCATAGGCAAACTCAAGGAAAACTAAAGCAACAAATAATAAACGAAGTGAGTTGAAAAATCTGGAACAAGTTTACATACTCAAATAGGTTTGTTAAATATGTACTATTTTCCGGCAGCAAAAAGAATTTTTAGCCATTTGATGGGAAGACCGTTTAAGTAACTTATTCAGCCGGTAAATTGCTAGCTAATTTATTTATGAAATGCTTGTTGGTTTATAGCCGGAATATAAAGAGATGTAAACTGGATAAACAACGAATGAAAGAAGCGCATTTATCAGTTTTCTCTTTATTTAGCGTCGTATAAAAAATGGTTTACTATGAAAATGAAAAGGTTGTTTTTTATTCGAATCAGTGGACTACCACCAAGTTTTACTAGTTCATTTTAATAATTTATTAATAATTATGCAAAATATCGGAACAAAATAAGTCACACAGTATTTACGAGGACAAAAACTTACTTCTTTTGTTGAAATAAAGAGGAATGCATAGGAAGAAGAACAATGATCAACCCCACAGTAAATGAAAAGAAAATATTCGGTTTCTTAACGTTTAATGAAAATAAATTAAATGACATGGTAAATGACAGAATGTTTAACTTTAAACAAACGCAAATATATTTTTATAATTAACAAAAATGTTTAATTTCAAATTCTAAGCTGATATTAAATCGAAAAAATATTTACAACTAAATATGGTAATAAATACTTACGAATGATAAGAACAAATAGAAGATGTAGATGTATTATAATTGCTTTCACATATACCTTTAAAACATAATTACAGCTTATTTTGGCATTTTTCAATTTAGTTCATGCAGGTTCTCATTAGGGCTGGGTAACACTACATTGAATAAGCCATTGAGTTGTTGCCGCTCTCTGAGTTAACGAGTTATAACGCATCGGTTAATGAGTTGTTATAAGTCATTTATTTAAAAAAGACAGCCACAGGACAGTCTAACGAAGGCCCAAACTATAAAGACGACGAGTTTTCTTGTAAAATTGATCTCTACTTTTTTTGCTTAAAAGACTCACTTTACTAGTATCTTACACTAAAATGTTAGAATAAAACGCGGTTTTCTGTTTAGAGACTGTGTTGTTTAGAAATATTGACCCAAAAGTGGAAAAACCCCAGTTTTAAGATAAATGATTATAAACTCTCGCTTTTTCTGTTCAAGGAAATATATTAAAAAAAAACAAAAAAACAAATTATTAAGGTTTTGCGTACCGTTCGAAACAGCAAAAGAATTTTCAAAAATATTTGCAATGCAGTTAAGGAGGCGAGTGCTCCAATAAAATGTATCTTATAATTTTTCACAGAAAAGACCTGAAGATTGTCAGTATTTTTAAGTAAAACTTTAGAAAAATGCATTTTTTGGGTAGAAAGAATTATCTAAGAAAAAGTTTGCTAAAACTGGACCTGAAATTTTAAAGAAACTTACAAAATCGTCAGAGCGATGAGGGCGGACATTTTTTTTCTAATAATTATTTTTTGTAAACTTTTGCTTTATGTTTCTTCAAGATAATTGTAATTACTCGGTTACTTCGGTAAAAAACTAAATAAAATTACATGGTTTTTGTGCCAAATTCGAAGCTGAAAAGAGTGCTGTAAAGCAATAAATGAGGCTAATTTTCAAGCAAAATTAATGTTGTCGTTTCTGGCTGAAAAGTCCCCATTATTGTGAAAAAGTATTAAATGATCAGAAAATAATGGTTTGTTTTGCCTTTTCAATCAAAAACGTTTATTGTGGTGCTCGGTTTTTCAGAAAATCTTAATGATTTTCGAGAAAAGACGGGAGACATTTATTTTCATTGTTGTCCCGAATTCGACGCTGAAAAAAGTTTTTGTAAAATAATTTTTAATTATAAATTTATCTCGTGATTTTTGGCCTAAAAGTCCTCCAGATCGTCAGTATTTGTAAGTGAAACTGTACAAAAAATAGAGCGTATTTGAGTAGAAAGTAAAGCAAGAAAAACTAAGTCAAAACTAAATAACCAAATTTTTTAACAAACTCTACATTATTCAGAGGAATGGAGGTCACGAGTTTTTCAAATAATTTATTATGAGCTTTTGCTTGTTCTGTTCGTTTTTTGATAGAAAATTACTTTATTTTTTATTTTATTTAATTTATTTTTGTCCCAAGTTCGAAGCTGGAAAGAGATGTCAAAATTTTATACAAACCAATGAAGGAGGCGAGCGTTCTAATAAAATTTATATCATAATTTTTCGCGGAAAATACCTTAAGATTGTTTAAGTAAAACTTTGGTATCAAAATATTTAAAATTTTTAGAAACTTAAGAAAATATTGTTAATAAATGTTACTAAACTAAATTTAACTGTCATGTAAACTGAAAAAAGGTAATCAACATTTTCCCAGCAACAGAACTGAGTTACTGCGCCGGTGTGTGTCTAGAGCATCAAGCCATTTGCGTAGCACTACGCCAACTCCTAAAAATTCACTGATTAACCCAGGCCTACCTAGTTCTCATATACTTTATATCACTCACATTAATATCCAATGGATTAATAATGGAAAAAATTTATTTGAATAATATTCCAGGAATTTCCCTTCAGAATTAGAATTGGAACACGTATTTTATTATATTTAACACAGCATTTTTGATAAAGAATTTTGAATATACAGGACATACGTGTTTAAGATGCGACACTTAAGTTGGAAATTTCAACTCGGAACACTAATTTATAGTTGGATTTTTTAACTTTACGTAAAATTTGAAGTATTATTCTTACGTAAATAGTTTACCAGAGAAGATGCTGTGTCCCGTAAGCACATGATTAAAAGAGTAGTGCGACATTCTTTGGATCTAAATAAAACGATCTGAAAAATGTCTGGCGGTCCGACACTGCCACGGAAACTGGACGAATTACCACAAAGTCGCCCCACGCTATGACAAGAAAAAAACGAAACTGGAATCATAAACCCAACATCACCAGAGTTGCGTGCTGGAACATAACATTGTGAAATGGAAGAGATCAAGAAATCATGATCGAAACGCAAAAACAAAACATAGATATCTGCGGGATCTCGTAAACGAAACAAAAAGAAAAAAACGAGAAAAAAATGAACATGTAAACTTGGAGTTTACATACTATTCTAGAGCGGAAATACCAAGCATGAAAGAGCACAATCGGGAGATTGCTTCTTTATTCTACTGCATGAGAGATATGCACAAAGCATAGAAGATAGCAACGACAAATTAATTACATCTTATAAGTACGTACGCCCCCGATATATCCAAACCTGTTGAAGGCTCATAGACATTATATTGAGAATCAGTACATATATATCATTATAGACATCAGTAGTCAAAATCAATAACTCCTATAAAATCGTAATATTTGGAGATCTCAATGCTCGAATGTGTAATACAATATTCTAAGACAAAACAAAAATACTGGCGACACTGTTTAACAAAATCTTGAACACTCCACTGTTTAGGAAAATCTTGAACACATCCGGAAGGACTGTCACACCAGCGTCACAATTCCCATATACAAAAAAGGGCATAAAACAAGGAGCAAAACTACAGATGAATAACTCTTCTATGCTCAACAATGAAGTTATTTACATGGTTTCTCAAAGGCAAACTAGAGGAGCAAATAGAAATCAGAAGGGAACAAACAACAAGGATTCAAAAAGAATAGATCAACAACCCATGTCATATTTATTATCAAGCAAAAAAAGGAAAAAACACTAGAGCATTTATTTGCTTCATCGATCTTGCTAAGGCATTTGACAGAGTCTGTCTGGAAGATGAGATACAATTCCTAAAGGAAAAAGAAGTCCCTGCTAACATAGTAACAACGGTATTCACCTTACCACTACTAACAGAATGCAAATCAAAGCGGGAGAATATTACAACAGGCATCCAATCTATTTAGTCCATTTTTATTCAACCTCCTGATGGACAAAATCATAAAAGGAGTAACATTCATGAACTCGGGATACAGAATGAGCAATATTATTTTATTATGAATTAATTTTAAACGTTTTATAATTGTTAACTTACATTATACCAACATGGTCAAGGTCTTAGGCCGGTCGTTCTTTGGAAGCGTTTCAGTTCAGACTTATTAAGTTTTATTAAAATTCATATAAAAACTTTCCCCATATTACAAAAACAAACTTAATTTAAGGTTTGTTTAAGCAAAAAAATAATGAATCTCTAAATTTGTTAATTGGTGAGAAAAACCTTTTTTTCGCAAAAACTGTGAAAACTACCGGATTTTACAAAGGCCAGAAAAATATCAGCAAAAACTAGTCCATCCAAGCAAAAAAATTACTCCCAGCGACGAAACAAAAAGTTCTAGTAGTTTTCGAGACCAAGACCCTTAAGAATTCATCACTTGGCCAAAGCGGATGAATTCGGTTACATCGTCAAAATTTGAGTCTTATTTAGTTTAAGTTTCATTAAATCATTTTAGAGGTGTTTTAAAAAACATTTTTTTAAAGAACTTTGCCTAATCATTAGCGGAGGAGCCAGACATTTTTTTCTTAATATAGTTTAGGTAAAATCTTTTCAGCCAAATGATCTAGCAGAACTCTTTTAATTATCTGCTTACCGGGCACCCTGTATATTTATGATCAAATGTTTTATAGAATACTTTGTATATTTAGTATTTTTTATCAATAATGCTCACTTAAAAATAACAATTAAAGTTGTAGTCATAACTATAGATAGAGACAGGTAAGATTTGCCCTTACAACTTTCCTTAAGACTGGCATTAACTTAATTGCATTATCCATTATGCGCCCAACTTAACGTTTTTATCTTTATCCAAAGACAAGTTGGTGGTCAATGTGGCTCCTGATGAAATTGATATTTTTCGCAGTTTCAAAATTCTAATGTGGGAAGCAAATTTTTCAAGTATTTTTCTTTTGCAGACAAAAATAATGAAAATAAAAACACCTGAAAGCAAATCAGATTAAATCAGATTAAATAATTCAACAATTATAATACTATAGATTGGTTCACAAGTAAACATTCAAATAAGAAAAAACAACTTATCACTCAACAAATTTGACCACACAATTCAGCCTTATAAATAGTGAGAAAAATTTGTGTATTCCCATTATAATCTTATTTAATGCGTTACCTACCTTGTAAACAATTTATAATATCCCACACAATTTCTAAATATTTGGTTGGTTCTGTTTGACTAAAATCGCAAAACGAAGATGCGACTTCAAACACGTACGATATTCCCATTATTACAGATAGTTTGGCTACTAAAATAAACCTGAAATATTTCAATTCTAATTTTTAAACAAATGTCTAAACTGGTGCATAGTACGGTTCTTCAAAATTGCTAGCCATTTAGTAATTGCGATGTTTTCAATTGGCATTTATTCAGGATACCTACAGCAGATCTACTGAGAATTAAATGACAAGTATTATAAAGACCCTTATAATAAGGTAATTTAGCAAAACAAGTAATACAATTTGCTTTATTTATCGCTGTTCCAAATATCTGCGCCAAATGACAAAATATACATTTAGACTGAAGGATAATGTAGCCTTTAATTTTTGACTAGCGTCTTTGCTGAAATAAATGATCAGAACTGGAGTGATTAGTGTGATATTGAAACATTAAAAACTTGAATATGCATATCGATAACGCAAGTTGAATAAGAAAACGAAAATGTTTTCAAAGTTATTATAACTATATACGAATTATCAATTCAGCAGTTCGAATTGCTTCTTGATCTTGTTGGCTTCAATATACCTGTATTCACTTATAAATATTTGTCAATAAAATAATTTAGAGATTTAAATGCAAAATAATATCAGGAATAAAGTTTTATTTTGTAGTTACAAAAATCCTATTAAAACTGTCAGAAAATGTGATTCAAGTTAAATCGTGTGTTCGACATTATTCAATGTCTCGTTTTAACGTACAAACTGTATTCAAATTCCCAAGCCAAGTAAAATTTGTTAAAGTTTACTTTTAAAGTCTTACAGAGAGCCTTTGAAGAGTTGAAGTGTACCAATTGAACAAATTTTGATGCTGCAACTTATCTTAAGCTTTCTTTTTAATTCTCTTTCGGTCCTAATTGCTGTTCAATAATGCTAAATTTTTGAGAAAGTAAAACTTTAGTGTTACGTGTTTGTGTGTAAAACTTTAGTGTTACTAACTTTTAGTGTTACGCAAAGAAGATTTTGCGGGCATTTTTTGTTGAAAYTGGTGTGTTGTCCGGGATTTATGTCMGCCGTRAATTTAAATTTATTCCTGATGTTTTGTTTCGCAAGCACGAGGGGCAACATCTTCAAAATTGGTTTGCTTGAAAGCTTACACTGTACATGAGAAATATCAGGAATACATTCGATAGCACGATGACTGAAAAACCCGAAAAACGCATCCGTTCCAGAAGTCCGTTATTTTAGATTAGATTCAATAAAAATGGTGAAGTAGAAAGACTTTAAATTAAAAATTATTAAAACAAAAAATTTAAATGAATACGCTAGCTCAGTGAAAATTACATTTATGTACATTCGATATCATATTTTCGCATTTCTTTACATTCGCTTAAAAATTTCCTAAATTTATAGATTAACAGCTGTAAAATATACTATTTCGGTGTAGCTAATTGCCTATTATTTGAAATGTATACGTTAGCAAAATTTTTACATAAATGACATAAAAGTTATTTACATTATTATTACCTTTCTTTGTTGATCAAAAACTTCTTGCTTTGATTATTCGTCTCGTTCATTCTTTTAATTTCGTTTTTGATCTGGATGCAGTATTTTACAGTTTTGTAAAACAAGAACAGATTTACTAACTGTATAACAGCAACCGGTATGGTTCTAAATACCAGGTCCGCATAACTCTGATCTAAAATTACATTCACATTGGCAAATTAATCCATTCAATCGGAAAACGAAACCAATATTTTGGCTGGTCGAACTTTATCCTGCAGAAATAATTGAAAGACAAAATGGTCCAATTTGTGGTTGACAAACATTAACAATTGGACCAACAATAGTTTATTCACAAAAATGGATCAACAAACACTACCATACAGGGTGAGGCAACAGATACTAACATTAAATGGGTATTTAATAAGTTTAAAATATAAGGCAAACGGTGCAAGGCAGACTATACTGGTTACCGAGTTTCATTTTGACCCCGAAAATTTCAATTTATTTTAGAGTATATCCATTTTGTTTGTAAAACCGAGAAATATTAAGCTTTTATCACCTTTAAGACTGTCCATTTGAATTATTCTTTAAATAATGTATTTAGGCAATTGATCAAAACATAATTTAAATTTTGCGTACCTAATTAACCATGTAAAACAGTAAAAATAAAGTATACTGTGAAAGTTTTAGTAACATTTTAATAAGATAGGTAAATAGATTTTTTTTCAACCGTCTCATGATTAATACATTTGAGAATGACCTAAAAATTACGATGATTTTCGAGCTGTCGAAGCTATCATATCAAGCATTCATAAAATATATCTATATACCTCTCTCTATTGCACATCTGGATATTCCCATATTGATAGCAAAAGGGTCCGGTAAAACATCCATGAAAGAAAGGGTTAAGGGTATTATTGTCAATAATAAAGATAATCCCCAACCGTA